GAATGTCTCAGCTGGTCCATTCTCTTGGAGGATCATATTTTAATACGGGCTTTTATCAAAGATGCTCAGATACAAACTGTGTCTGGAGAAAGTGTGAAAGTGTATACTACTGTGATTATTGCACTGCCCTCTCTTCAAGGAAAGGCAAAGTGTGTATTTACTGAAGGAATTGGAGGGTGAACAGCTACTTTGGCACTCTATGCATCTGCCCAACTTCCTCGTGGAAGACTTCACAGTCTAGAAGAGGGGGGTATTGTCTCCTGTAAGAATGTCCTTGGGATATCTGTAGAAATAGAGTTTTCCTGTTTTGGAAATGTGCCTTGATTCTCAGCTGTTAATGCCTAATCCCAGGCCTCCTGAAAAATTTTGCCCCATTTTTTCATATTAGTTATGCAAAGATTGTTTTTCTGAAGACTTTGAAATACTGGTGCCTCCTGTGCTTTCCCTTCCTTCCATCCCTGCCTTATCAATGAAACCACCTATACACAGTAGCTCCGTATCTACTCCCTCCACCTCAGAAATTCCAAATCAAACCACATACTTGTGTGCATGGACTTGAGTTGTACTTAAGCATTCTTAAATCAGAGCTTCTTGGTTTGGGAAGAATCCCTATGGTTTGTGGCTCCTGGGACTTTTTGGGTCAGCAGACTTTCTTTGAAGTATGAGCTTTCCTAACGGTAGCCAGTAATGGATCCAAATACTAACTACAACCACAGCAGTATTTTGTGCCTCCTAGAACAGTAATGCCATAGGGCTCTTTCTTACTGCTCAGGCAGATAAACCAAAGTAAGACATGACTAATAGTAAATGCTAAGCTATAAGTAAAATAAATGCTATTTACTTGCTGAGAAGTGACTTTCTGCACCTTTGTTTCATCTCCAGAGTCCTACTACTAGTACTTGCACAAACTGAGAAGTGTTCTCATTTCTCTAGTCACAGGGGAATTTTCTCTCTTGGGAACTGTTCTCACTGTTCTGCTCTTAAGTTAATGATTGAGTCTGTTAGGGTTGGAAAGACAGAAGTAAGAGTGAAAATAGGTATATCTCCAAAGAGTTGTGCCTTGCTTCTGTTCTTTAGGACAAGACACCTGTTGGCAATGCAATTACTGAGGCCTTTTGGTATTGAGAGAAAATCCATTTTTTAAAAGTATCAGAACAAATCAATTAGTACAAGTAGTATTATTACTTGGTGGGGGAACACCACCACAATCCCTCCCCTCTCAAGTTTCTTCCTTTTGACTTCCATTCTTGAACAAATGCAGGATTTTCCATACCTTAACAGGCAAAATTATCTTTAGTACAGAATGTCTGTATAATTTGGTTTTGGAAAAAATAGGAGAAGGTATTGAATGAAAAATAACCACGGAGTTTTAAGTCTTGAAACTAAGTATCTGAAATATGATCTTGGTTGATGAACTGAGTAGGTTTTGGTCGATTTAAAACAACTTTGTGCCCTTAAAGTCAAAGATATGTTAGCTCTTAGAAAATTTCCTTGTGAACCCACATGATTGCACCTCCAGAAGTCCATCTAGGAAACACAAGTCACTGTACTTCCAAATGAGGTAGGCATGTGTTTACGTAAATTAATACTGCTCTGGTGAAAGAACAAATGCTCAAAAGTCATGCTAAAAATGTGGAGTAGCAAATAATTCTCCAGTTGCAGAGACCTTTCCATTCATATCTGTGGCTTCTTGCAAGAGGCCACAAAGTAGCTGTGTTTCTCTTCATTGCTGTGTGTATTTTTAGAAATGAAGTACTAGACCATAGATTAAGAAGAAATTTGTGTTCAGGATGTGTGTGGCATAGAGGACATATTTTCATTATGGAGTAAACTAGTAGGAAAAAAACTCTGGAGATTATTTAATCCCATTAAAAAGTCTTGTGAAATCTCTTTGCACCTTTAAAAGGAATTAACTAAGCAAACACAAGAAACAGCAAGATGGGAGAGTGGAGAGCAATTCAGCAGAGCTAAATGGCAACTGCTGAAGTATGAGAGTGATCAGAACAGTGTGGAGGGAAGCTGGCATGGTCAAAATACAGACAGGAACAGGTCACTACCAGAGCAACTTGGGATGCTCCTGCTGTGTTCATAGACTCACAAATTTGTTCTCAGCAATATGTGAAATGCTGGTAGGAGGCATGTCAGTAGTATTAACCAGATGAGATTTCCTAAAGTTCCTGTGGCTTCGACAGATCACAGGTTTTATAAGTAAAACTTACTCCTTTGTAGAAAACAGGCTTTGGTGTAGAGACAGGGATTTGCTTCTGTTTTCTTTCTCTAAAGCTATCCTGTAAATTACTTCAAAAAGGAGCCAAGGAACCTGAGGCATGTGTAAAGGAGGAGGTTCTGTAAACAGCATGAAGCCATTGCACTCTGTTAGACAAGAAGGTCAAAATGGTAGCAAGAGTTAATGCAGCGTGGGGCTAGGACATCTCCATATTGTGCATTTTATGCTAAGGGCTAATGTAAAGGAAGTTCGGAGTACTTCCAGTATTAACCTTGATTTGCATTTCATGAATCATCAGCAAAACCTCATCCTCTCCCTGGCTGCTTTATTTTCCTGCGTGGACCCAATGGCCTGTTGCAGCCACACATGTTGCTGTTGTCTTTCTAAGAGCAAGTCACAGTAGTGGGAAGAAGCTTGGCAGGGGAGCACAACTCAGCCTATTAAAAGCAGTGTCAGTTTGAAGTTACCTGCTTAAAAATAACATGGCATCTGCTATTGCAGCAGCTGGTTAATAAGCAATTACTTACAATAAAAAAAACCAAAACAAACAAACCAAAACCCCAAACCCAATTGTAACCAGAATGGCAGCTGCTATTTCTGAAATTAAACACAGCAAGGATCAGTCAGCCTAACACTTATCTGTAGTATCATTTCTCACCCTTCTCACACCTAGTTTTAGAACAATGTAAATCTATTTGCTAGTAGAAGGTGCAAGAAAGCCTTTAGTCATTTCCTGTAGAGATACAGGAGCTGATGGTGGGAAACATCATGTAGAATTCATGAGGTCTGTGGCCGACTGCTTGTGGTCTGCAGCTGATAGAACAGCTCCAGATCTTCTCTCGGACAGGAGATTACTCCTATAGTACAGAAATCAAGCTTTCACACAGGTGTCAAATCCAAATTTCTTGTCTGATGATTTGTCAATCAGAAAGAATTTGAATACATGCTGCATAAGGGTGAAGACTGCTTTATTGATCATTCAGTGCACTGGGCTGCCATCTTTCCAAGTTGGCATTTGCAAGTCTTGCCCCATTTTCTTCTTGTGTTCATAAGTAAACCTGTTTTCTCATACATCTGCAAAAGGGTTGCATAACCCTTTTTTCTCCCTCCTATGACTACACACCCTTTGCCAACTTCCGAAAACATTTATATGGAAAAAACTTCATTGCAGCAAAGTATTTTAACTGCCTTCAGGAAAATTTAGTGGGAATAGGGAAAGCAATAGCAAAGAATAGCCAGTACCAAATCACCAGCCAACTCTTTAGGCTACCAGCATATGGCTCCTTGCACCTTGCTCTGCTCCATTAGGCACTTTGTCTACCATTGGTAAATCCAGAAGTAGTATCACTGTAAGTCCATTAAAACACCTTTTGTTAAAAGAACTTTGTGTTACAGATAATTTTTGAAGTGGTTAAACTGTATTTTCCCTAGTGGTGAATTTGAGGCCCACAGAAATATGCAGTGCCCACCAATTTGAAGGGGAAAAACTATTTTTCAGTTTAGGCTTAGGTGTAGCTTCTTTAGTGTCTGATTCTAGCCTGACCTTGCTATTAAAGAGAGCTGTTTACAGATGGGGTTGATGTTTTTGATGCTCCATTTATAGCTGAAAATGTCAGCATGCCAAAATTATGATGTAAGTTACTAAGAGAAACATTCCCCAAATGTTTAACTTTGGAAAGTATCACCTCTGCATCTACAGTGTCTTCTCTGTGCCTGTATTTACATTGTAAATGTACTGCTTCTCAAAGTGAGCCATGGCTTTTGAGGTTGTCAGTGGAGGGTTCTACCAGGAGTTTGGTGTGCTGCTTTGGTGCCTGATGCTTGTGTGTTGGTTTCTACATTTCTCAAGACTGTCAGCTAAGTTTTTGTCCTTGCCCTCAAGTTTCTAGGTGTTTCTGAGAAGATATACTTGAAATGTTAAATATAACTTTCAAATATATTGTTTTCTCAGTGAATACAGTAACTATGGTGTTTTTTGAGGATAGGATTAAGTTTCAGAATAAATTCAATTATGTTTACAGAGTTTATTTGGAGAAAGTAGAGAGCTAGACAGATGTAGACAGCCAGATCCTAGACAGACCAGAGAAGAAACAAAGGCAAGAGTCTTAGATTAGATTAGATGGGAAAGTAATACATACTGCAAATCGGAGGTAATACATCAAAAACATAGATGTACACAAAAAAAAGAAGACCTGAGGGGAAAACATGAGAACTTCAGATATCCACCAGAGTGGTAACATGGTTAATATTCAGCTGAAAAGGGTGAGGAGCGCAGCTCAGTGAAATATACCAGCGACAACTGAGAAATGCAGTCATTACATCAAGTTAGTTCTGATACTTAGCTACAGCTGCAATGCTATGCTGGAAGGCGATATTACTAAAGGTAATTGAGAATGAAGTTAAAAAATTTGTCAGCTCTATGTATAGTAAAGTATTTTGTATAAAGCTTACCTGTAATTCATGCAGGAGTAGAATACTGGTTTGACTTTCACTGGATTCTTTTTAAGCCTTAAGCGGCTCTAGTACCTTTATCCTGAAAATACTAATTTGTCCTATTGGTCCAAATGGAACAATATGATGGTGTTATATATAAATTAAAGTCCAAAACTATCAAACTCTACCTTGGCAGCCTTAAGAGTATAGCTATAGCACCTAGAACAGCTGTGAATATTATCTCAATAAAATTTCCATCAACTCTTCTTGAAAAGACCCAACACAATTTTACTGCTTCTGTGCTTTTGTGTTTTGTAATTTATTTTTCTTTTTCTTCCAGCTTTATCTTCAAGCAAGAATGAAAGGAGACTGGGCAAGACTTTTACGTCCCACTATACAATTTGGCCTCATTGCTGCATCTATCTATGTGGGTCTCTCACGTGTTTCTGACTACAAGCATCACTGGAGTGATGTTTTAACAGGACTTATCCAGGGTGCAGTGGTAGCTGTGCTCATTGTAAGTAATTCCTGAGGGGGTGGGTGTGTGTAAATGCTGGTTTTATGAACAGCACCTTAGAACGGCAGGCTGTGTTCAGAGGAAAGCAGACTTGTATTTCTAACACTTCAAAAACTGCTGAAGCAGGGAAACAACTCCTTGAACTGGGTGTAGCAATAGTACCTTGGGGAGTAAGGCAGGCTCTGGCCCAGTGAGATACATGGTAATTTTAGCCATTGGACAACATGCTGAAGAGCTTTTCAAATAACTAAAATGGAAATGGTAACTGCAAATCATGTAGGCCTCTTTACATAAATCATGCTTTTTGCTTCTAGCCAAATTCAAAATCTCAAGTGAAAGAGCAGAGAATTCTGTATAACTTAAACAGGGGCAAAAAGGCCTTGAAGAATGAGAGCACCAAAGTGTCTGCCTTTGCCACCTTACACAGTGTGTTTTTTCAGTCTGATGGGAAATTAAAAACCCTTCACCATTTCTTGTGTGCATTCCTAGTACTAAAAATGTGTTCACCACAAGGAACCTGTGATGCTTAGCTGTACTGATGAATATAAAGCTATGCCAGGAAACAGACACTTGCCTGAACTTGTCCCATCAGGCCCAGCTGACTTAGTGACAGCAGTTGTACTGGGTGTCAGAGTGCCCATGGCTAATTCATCTATGAGAAGGGATATATCAGGACTCCTGGGTCAATGGGAGTGAACTGAGGTCATACTGAAGAATTCAGTTACCAAGAACTGAGGCTTAGCTGGGAAGAACCACCTCCATAATAAATACTTTGTCTGCTTTCTCAGGTCAGAAGGGTACGGTTCAAGACAAAGCTGTCTACTAGTTGCAACCAATAATCAAAACAAATCTTGGAGCAGCTCTGGGTAATCATACAGGCTGCAGTAGCTGTTACTAAATGGCTACATGTTGGCATAATCCTAGCCCTCTTTTTTGTCCAATCTCTTTTCCTAAGAAAAGGAGTTCAGAGAGTAAGAAACATCAGAGATCAAAGAGGTGAGGACACTTTTATTAGGAAAACAAGTTTAGTCAAGGATGTTGGATGATTCAGAAGGTGATTAATAATACAAGAAAGAGTAGAAAGTAGCATTACAGTGAATAGAATTGAAAGGTCAGGAAATTATTTTAAAAAAATATACACTAGCACCAACCACCACCCTCAGACTCTATCTGAAAGAACTGATGAGTTCCTCTCCAAAAACAGCAAGCAATTGCAAATGCATCACTAAATTGAACTGAGGGAATCTGGCATTAAGTGGAAGCTGAAACTCCCCTGGTCTGTGGCTAAAGCAGTGTGCTGGATCCTCAGCCAGCTGCCAGTGTGGTGGGAGATTGTTTCTTCTGCCATGGACAGTGTTCCACAGTTCTCAGGGTTGCCGGGGAGGGGAAGACTACAGGAAGGGAAGGGATCATGTGTGGCTTCTCATTTATTGCACTCCATGCAGCACTGTGCCCAGCACATCTGCTGTGGGACTTGGTGAAATGAGCAGTGGAAGACAGCAAGCTGCAGAATTGGATCAAGCACCTGTCTTGTACTGAGGGAGATGCTCCTAGCTGTGAAGAAGTGAGGTGGTATGTTTAAAGGCCTGCAGGAAAGGACTACATAGGTAGAGCTGGCCTTACAGCTGCTGGGTCCAGCTAAAGCACCACCTCTCCTGTTCTGCCTAAATTACAGAAAAAACTTTAAACTTACATTGTGGGCCTCAAAATGCACATTTTGCTCCTTCATTTAGAGCTGTTCAAACTATGGCTGTTGTAATGAAGCAGTGCTGGGTAGTCAGCAGTTAGTCAGCACAAGCCTTGAATTTGGATTCAACCATGAGTGGTTAGATGGTCAATGGCAAGGTGAAAAGCTATTGAAAGAACAGATGCCTGAATTTTGTACAAGACTTCCCTGCCATTTTCTAATGTTTCAAACTGATTAAGCTTTTTATTAGTTTTGATCCTAGAATTTGCCTGCAGCAGAGCCCTTGTTTCAAAGACTTATGAGTGCAGGTCTAATTTAACACTGATTAACACTTAACACTAATTTGTTCACCTAGGTTGTATATGTGTCAGACTTCTTCAAAGTGAGAGGGTGTACATTTCAACCAAAAGAAGATTCCCATACAACCCTACATGAGACGCCAACAAATGGAAATCACTTTGGTAGCAATCATCAACCATGAAGAATGGCCCACATCACCTACACTGCTCTGAAAGAAAACAATTTCACAAGTCTAACTCCATAATATAAGTAATTGCCTTTAAGGGACTGCTGCTGCTCTTGGATGCTCACTTCACCTGTATATAGTAACATCTACCACAGTTATTGTACATCTAAACTTTAAATTTCTGTTGGTTCAAGCTCTTGCTTAGAAGAAAGCTATTAAAATTGTAAATTTTTATTGAAAACTGTAACAAGTTATATTACATACACTGCTGTTTGTACATGCCTTGTTGAATCAACTGTGGTTTAAGTAAACACCATTAAAAGGAATTACTTGATATGGAAGCCACATGTGACACTGATGAATTTGTTCCATCATGTCAGTATAGTTTCTGGAAGACATCTGCTCTTAGAGATAAAGACTTGCAGCAAACACAATATCTCTCTTGATTTTTGTGATCCCTATTAAGAAGGAAAAAAATATTAGTATCTAAGAGTCTTAACTGACACAACCACTATTTAAAGTATAGTTACAAGCATGTTATAAGTACTAAAGGGAAGTCAGTGCACATCCAGTTTTAGCCACCCTTTAAGTCAAACTTTGTAATAAAGATGTTATCTGGAAAAGTAACAGCAATGGTGCTGTTTACTATGAAGTCAACATTACAAAAGTATTCACCTTCAGCCATCACTACCTGTGCAGCTCCTTTCCCCATCACTTTTTCTTCTAAAATTGCTTAATGTACTGTGAAAGTGAAATACATACCCTCTGCAAACTTATTTTCCAGTTCTGTGTTCCCAATGGCTTTTGCAGCCTGGCACATCTGCCGAAGCAGTTCTTCTAGACGCCTCATGCAACGAATTATGCTACCTGTACGAAAGAGCAAGGGAAAACTTTGTGCCATATCATGTAACTGGTCCTGAATTATTCAAAGTCATAGTTCCTTCTACATCCCTGTTCAATTTATCTAGAAGCCAAATGTCTTAAACTTAGTTTCTGTTTGCACAGTTTCTGTTTGCACAGTAAATTTCTCTGTGAGGAATTGCCTTGAAGCTGTTTCCAAATGCTTGTCCTTTCTACCATCTTTACAGTCTCTAATATCTAATCACACTACTTTCTGGGCTGTTGAGTAATTCCTAGCTAATTTTTTCTTTCAAGTACTTGTTAAAACTTCCTCAAAAGCCATAGAGCATTAGGAGATGCACAAATTCACTACTTCAAAAACTACCACAGGTATATTTTGGGATTGTTTTTATAAGCCTTAGTTCTTTAGCTGGCAAAGGCAGTAAAACAGTAAGTGATCTATCTTACTACTCCTATCCTACACAAGAGTCCATGGACCACTCTGCTATTCCACTGCATGGTTACAGTAACACACACAAGTATCTTGCCACAGCTCCTACACTGCAACCCAACACCCATTTGTTAATTATTACTAATTTATCTCCTCTTTGAACTTTCCTCATAGCTCAGCCCAAGTCACTGCTACAAATTTCACAAAACAACCCTAAATGCTTCTGCTCTTCTGGCTACAAGCAGACAGTATCGTGTTTGGTCATTTCCTCCAGCAGCAGCTCCAACAGTCAAAATAACTGTAGGCAAAATAACTGTTATTGGGAGAATATGGAAAGAAGGGCTTGAGAACAGCCCTGCTGAAAGGGGGTGCTGCTGGATGACACGCTCTGTATGACCCATCAGTGTGCACCTGCAGCCCAGAATGCCAATTATATCCAAAGCAGTGTGGCCAGCAGGGCAAGAGAGGTGATTCTGCCCCTCTGCTCTCATGAGACCCCACCTGCAGTGCTGCATCCAGCTCTGGGATCCCCAGCACAGGAAGGACATGGACCTGTTGGAGCGAGTCCAGAGGAGAGCCACCAAGATGATCAGAGATGGAACAGGTCTCCTTTGAGGGCAGGCTGAGAGAGTTGGGGTTGTTCAGCCTAGAGAAGAGAAGGCTCCAGGGAGACCTTATTGTGACCTTTCAATACATGGAAACATTCAAGGTCAAGTTGGATGGGGCTCTGAGCAACCAAATTTAGGGGAAGATGTCCCTGCTTGCTGAAGGGGGTTTGGTCTATACAACCTTTCTATTACCCACTTCAGGCGTAATATCTGGGAAGAAAATCAATATGAAAAGAGCATTGTTCAAAGCTCTTGGGAAAGTGAGATATGATAAAGTAATGCTTCTCCACTAAAAAGCATTCATAGGGCCTCACTAGGCCATGTCAATTTCTACAGTGAGAATATTTTGTGTAAGAGCAGCAGTGTGTAGAACCTGTTGCAATGACACAAGATGGAAAAATCCACACATAGCCTATTGAGCACAGAGCACACACCAACACAAGTGACCTATGGGCAAACTGCCCCGAGCACGGCTGTGCTGCACTGTGGCAGGCCCTGGCTCAGCTGTCAAAGATCCTGCTCGTCTCTATTTACAAGGCTGACCCCGACAGCCATTCCAGGGAGTTCTCCTTTACAGGCAGCGTAGCTGGGCTTGTTGCAGACATAGTTTTTTTTGCAAGAAAAAAGAAAACTGCAGTTTTAAAATGAATTACTATTGTTTATAGTTCCATAAAGCAGGAGTTGGTCTGCAGTTAACAGGATACTTAGCTCAGTGTTCTTTCCTAAAGGTTTTCAAAAGCTGCTCTTATTTTTATTTCTTCCTAACACACACATTTTGGCTTACAGACAAGGGACTTTCATTAGCAAATCAATCCTACTCCCCTTTGTGGCAAACACACTTGTTCTTGGAACACTCAGGCTTATTTTGTATTCTGATTTTCTTTGAAATCACTGCAGTAACTTGGATAACCAAGGTAAACTAATCTGGGATTTAGGAATACCACAATCCACTTAAGACACACAAAACCAACAATGGATGCCTGAAGCACTTTCCTTTCTATTGGACAAAGCACAGAAAACCAGCCTACTGAAAGTTAAGGGAAGAATCATGCATTAACCCCTGTTACAAGAGCTGAGCTTCTCAAAACAGGCCACTAAGATCTAATTTTGAGGGAGCTGGCACTATTGAGTAGAACAAAACTGACTGTCTTAGTACAAATGTGGTAAATGGAAAATGTTACTGCTCAGTGTATTCTGAACATTCAAGTGTCAGTGTAAAACAAGCCAGCTGCTTTGATGTTCCACATACTCAGGGTGTCTCCACAGCAAATGGAAGGCTCAGATACTCATTGAAATAGGAGGAATCTGCTGACTGCATAAGCAAAGACAAACAGGATTTGTGTTGCTCAAAAGCAACTTTCTTTAGGAAGTTCCTGGGTTTATACACTGGATTACATACATGAATTATGTGCATGAATTCCCTTGTTATAAGGGAATCTGCAAACCTTTGCAAAGAAGAAAACAGCATTTGAGAGAGGCAGCAGTGACAGTACCAACTTCAAAGAGGAACACTTCTAAGACTGGTGCCTCCATCCTACTCTTCACAACTTCCAACAGGCTGGTTTTTCATTCTGGTTTGACCTTTTTATTCTTGTTTGACAACCCTTTGGATGGTTTGTTTTTACAAAATACCAGGGCTGTAAATCATCATACTTTTTAAAAGTGAAAATGAAGTATTCTTCCTCAAGGAGCAGTTTCTAGTACTCCAATTTTAGGAACCAAATTAATCCACCTGACACGTTATACCTAGGCTTTGCAACTATCTCCATTGCACTGCTGTGCAAAACTATTCAAAAGAGACCTGGTGACCACTTCTCACTTCTGTCATCATTAAGTCAGCAGGAGGACTTGGTTATACCAACTGGTTTTACCAAATAAATAAAAAGCTTTAACTAAAATGAGGACAAGTGCAAGAGCTGTACTTCCTGATGACAAGCATTTGGAACATGTGTTTTCCCCCCTTAACTAGAAAAAGTAAGCATTACTTTTGTTGTAATGCTTAGAATTTGAGTTTTATAGAAAGTTTTTAGAATATAGAAATATCCCTTAAAAAAAAAATTAGATTCTAAATCATCAAGAGTGTGTAAGAATAAATTAACATATATAGTAAACAATTTTTTCCCCACTTGATTTTAGCCATACAGATGCTTGAATACATCTGAGTTTACTATAAGGTTATTCAGTATTACCATTCCCTTTTGTAGAATTACCTTCTAAAGAACAACTGATTAGCCTACCTTCAAAGACATCAGTCATTTTGCAGATGTGAGCAAAGTTAGCTCCATTTGCCCATGTATACACAACATCCATTAGGTTGGGTCTGAAAGAATTCAAGTAATTTTCTTCATCAGTTTCCAGTTTTGCTTCTGCTGACACCTTGGCAATTCTTTTTGCACACTCCTTTAAAACAAAATATTTTATATGTATAATGTATTTAATCAAAGTAAATACTTAACTGACAAAAAGACATGCACATTATTAGGTATGGCATTAAAAGAATGAAGTTTCATTTCTAGGGTGAAATTTCTCAGAATCAAAAAGTAAACCACTGTTTACATGCAGTCTGCCTGCACTAACAATCTACAGTGTAGCAAGCAAGCTTATAAAACTTTTAGAGGCATGTCCAAAATTAGCATAAAGATTTCTTGCAAACCGTGTAACATATTACACATTGCAAAATCACAAGCAGTGCCAGCTGAATTCACTGATGATCCAAAATTAGGTCTTTGCTGTGCACTTATTATACATTACTCATGAGATTTGCTCATGTTAACATTAACCCTGAGCTCAGACGGATTTCTAATTACCTGCATTTGCCGAAGTGGTCCTGCCAACTGTTCAGTCAATTTTGGCATTTCACTGGACTGAAAAAGATGACATTAAACAATCTTAAATGCTCCCATACATTTGCTCTATACCAAATTAAATGAAAAACAAAAGTTCAGTGCATGATACTACCATCCTAGATTATTCCAGTAACTTCTCAAACCTGTTACCGAACACTGAAATTGCTGAATTCCCCAAATGTTTGCTTCTCAAACTAAATCAGAACACGAGATCTTTCTGTATAATACCAACATTATGAAAATCAGCACCTACTTTCTGGATGTTTCTAAAATTCTCTCTATTTGGCTGTATCATAGTTTTGAACTGACAAATGAACTGCCATTAACTACTTTGACAGTTACAAATTCTTCTTTAAGAATACAAAATGTTTTGAGTAACTTAAGCATCAGTGACAATATATGAAAATATGGCTTTTCAAAATACAGGAACATCTTTATGCCCTAGCTGTTTAGACTCAAGTACTATTGTTGAGTGAATCCCAATATTCTAATTAACAACGGCTTACCTCAATTTCCTGTTTACTAACAAATGGAATGCATTAGCATCTGCTGCTAATGTTTTTTTTCCATATTTAGAATCAACATGATTGATACATCTTG